CACAACAGAGAACTTATTAAATGTTACAGGCAATGTAACCATCTCACCAATTCACCACTTCCTTGAGACCCATAATCCTGTTGACCCAGCATGTTTTGAGGGACTTCTGGAAGGTTACTAAGGATGGTAGTAGACCATAGTAGATAGGAAGAATGATGTTTACAGGGTAGGAGCCATGGCAGAAAAGATCCATCTTCTGAGTTTCATCAGATGTAACTCTTTTAACAGATGGGGCTTGCAACTTACCTTTTCTGCTAGACCTAATGGGATGGGCAGATTGGAAAGAGACAATCCTTCAAATATAAGTGGCCACAACTGGCAGAAATGCCTTCAACCTGTCTAGTTGCTAAACACTGTAGTCCTATGTGTTTTAGCTTTGGGTAGGAGAGCCAGGATACCTAGCCTTGTTCTCTTTGCACTACAATAGCAAATTCCCAGATACATCTATCATCAAGGGATTCAGCCCTTTGGTGTGTGTGTGTGTGTGTGTGTGTGTGTGTGTTATAAATGAAAGCTGGAGAAAGTAAAGTGTGAATGGTGTTTGAGGCATACACCGAGATGCAAAATGTGAGTGGATGGGTGAGGGCTATTTTCCTGACCAAAATCAAAGATCCAGAAAACACCGAGAGCTTTCTATGCTTTATAATCAGGCAGGCTTTTAGGGTGGCATTCAGAACAAATATATATTAATTTTCTATTTTTTTCTGACTGGACTATCATATGAATGAAACAAGCAGGAATCTAGATTTAGATTTAGATTTAGATTTGTTTATTTATAGGCCGCCCTTTTCCCTGAGGGGACTCAGGGCGGCTTACAATCAAAAAAGGGAAGGGGAGTGTAGGACAATACCAAAAAAAAGATGTGCACAAAGTAAATTAGACAGTAAAACTCAACATTCACTCAGCATTCGGGAGGGGCGAAAATAAGATTATCCCCAGGCCTGACGGGCTAGCCAGTTCTTGAGGGCTGTGCGGAAGGCCTGGACGGTGGTGAGGGTACGAATCTCCACGGGGAGATTGTTCCATAGTGTCGGAGCTGCAACAGAGAAGGCTCTCCTCCGAGTAGTCGCCAGTCGGCACTGACTGGCGGATGGGATACGGAGGAGGCCAACTCTATGCGATCTGATGGGACGCAGGGAGGTAATTGGCAGAAGGCGGTCTCTCAAATAGCCAGATCCACTACCATCTATCATTGGCAGCAGTCAGCTGGGTGATTTTGGGCCAGTCATGCTTTCTCAGCCTAACCCATCCCAGAAGATTGTTGTGGCCTTGAATTAGCCAAAACCAACACTCAAAGAAAATAAAATACAGTAATCTCTGAACTCCCAGGAGTCCTATTAGAAGCAGCAGACAGTAACTAATTCCTTAAAGCTAGATAAATTTTTAAGAGTTGAACTCTCAATGTTACCCTATCATACATTGAAGGGAGCAATTAATGACTGGTTTTCCCTTTGGCAAGTAATGCAGGGTTGGAGGGTAGAGGACAGCAGTGAATCTATCAATTGCTACTATGAAATTAAATTATGTAAGTTCAGAAACACTACTTGGCTTGGTGCTGAGGTGCAGTAAAGATTCTGAGGCATGGCAATTTATGCCAATATAGTTTTCTCTTGAATGAAAGATGGAAAAAGCACACTAATCTTACTATGAGGAAGACCCCCCCTGATTTGTTCCATTCTTGTGATCTTGCTCAGATGAAATACTGTTATTTCTTTTTTAAGTTCATTATACAGTGATAGCCAAAGTGAACTTTAGAATAGCATCCCCCATCCCTTAGCATTAAAGAGTATGTTTCCCTCCCAGGCATTGTACTTGGCCTGTTGTATTTCTCCCCCCACCCTTAAATGTATGGGTATTAAGCATAGGTAAATACTTAATAGAACACCATTAATAACAATAGCACTCAGTTGCTAGAAAAAATAATTTGAATGTGCTTTGAATGTGTATGATATGGTAAATTTTTTTGTCCAGAAAAGCTTTTTTAATACAGTATTCAAACATGTTGCCAATCAGTGTTTATTAACCTTGCCTGGTCCTCAAAAATTTTATCTAGTGATTAGCTTCAGATAATATACGTAATCAGACCAATACAAAAACTAATATTGTATTTGCATTGTATCTTTACTTGGTATTAACCTTCTCATAACACATTGAACCCTGTTCAATCACAGACCCGCAGATTCATCTTTCTATGTTGCCGATGATCAAACCATTCAGACAAAAGTTATTCACTCCATTCTGAGTTTGTAACAGTATAAATGCAAATGGATTCATCCCTCAAAGCCCAATTCCTTCTGCAAGAACCTCTTTTATCCTTGAATTTTGTCTTCTTCTCTGGATCTCACTCCCACTCCTACTTTTTTGAGTCAGTAAACATATGGCTACTAGTTTACCAACCTTGAAGATTTGTTCCAGTGCCATCTGTCCCTTGTTTACAAAATGGTTGTCACTGGTGTGAAAATTAGAGATTTCTACCTAATCAGCTTCAACATTAGAGGAATAATAACTTCTTTCAATATATTCAAAGCATAAAACAAGACAGAAAAAGTGGTCAGATACCAGATGCTGCCTTCAAGTCAGTGCTGACTCCTGGTGACTGCCTGCATTATGGTAGTCACTGCAGTTTTGTTGCAAGATTTCAGAAGTGGTTTGTCACTGCCTCCTTGCCACTGCCCAGGATTACACAGTTGGCTTTGTGCCTAAGGCAGGACATTTTCCAAGAACCAAAATCAGTGAGGAGGCTATAGCAGGAAGTTGCAAGTCCAAACAGTTTGCAAGTATTTACCAAGAAGTTCATTACCTTAGTAAATTCTAGCTAAGCCTCTTTCTCGATTGGTAATCTGAAAGATTATTGTTCATCACCTCTAGGAAAAGCCACTTCTTCTAGTAACAACCCCCCCCCCCAATCTTGTATGCCAAACAAGCACCTTGAATTTAATTTGGAAAAATATGTGTAAGCAATATAGTTTTGCCAAAATAAATGAAAATGTTGAGAAGCATCCAACAAATCATGGTTGTCCCAAAGGTGTTTTTCAGAAAGCAACAGGGCTTTTTTTTTTCCTTGAAAATATTTTGCTTCTCATCTAAGAAGTTCAGAACATTTTCAAAGAAAAAAACAAAAAATTCCAGTTGTCTTTTGAACAGCACCATTAGTATTCCACTCAATCATAACAACTTCATTTCACTATTAAAAATATGGAGGATAGAAATAAACCTTGTGACACTTAACAGCTCAATAGATGGAACACAGTCATAATATTCAAGGCAATGTTCAGGAAACCACCTTTGAGATAGGAGTAAAAACTGTGCCTTCAATGTCCAGCTCCTCAAGACAGTGCATGAGAATGATATAAAATGGTAATTAGACATCCAGAGAAATAAGCTTTGCTGAAAGAAAATTGGAATTGTATCCAGGAAGAAAAAAAATCTTATCTCACCAACCTTTAGAGTGTTTTGAAACTGTTCCCAGGAATATAGATGGAATAATTATTGGTACTGAAAATTCAATTTGCCTCTAGTTTGAGGCCAGCATGCCTTAAACCAGGGGTGTCCAACTCACGGCCCCACAGTCCATGCCCACTCCTGGTTTAGCAAAGGGGGAAAAAGTCCCAATACGTCATGTGACGATGTCTGATGATGTGAGTTTGACACCCTTGCCTTAAACTAGTAATTGCAAAAGAGCAATGTAGGGATATATCTAAGTCTGCTGCTTGCAGTACTCCAGAGGTAATTTGGTTGGCCAATGTGAGAATCAAACCACTGGACTTAGATATGTCTTGCCCTGCTCCATCATGGTTAGCATGTAATGATATGGAAGCTCAAGTCTTGCTTAAGAAGAATGAACAAGATTTTTCCAAAAGTATCCTTCCTTGTAATCAATTGAAATATCAACAAACATGATATTGGATAGGATCATACACTGTGCATAATGCAGTGCTGGCTGAAGGATTCTGGGAGATGACACATCTTAAATTTGCTGAGGTGGAGAAACAGTGTCCTAACATTTGCTTGGTGTTCTCCCATTATGATTCTATGTTTGAAATAATGCTTTGTTGTTGTGCCAAAATGAGGGTAGACTTTATAACACTTTATATGACTGGATGGTGCTACGAAGACACCATAAGTTGCTAGCAGGGAAATAGCCTTAGTTACATTGTTAGAAATTTATATAATTATGGCATGAAGTTGATGATTACAAGCTACCGTTTTAGTTCAAAATGCAGTCGCCTGGTTGTTGTTGGGTGCAAACCACTGCTATTTAGACTATTACTACACCAATGCTGCAGGCTCTAATAACCAATACACAGCTGCATACAATTCAAAATACTGATTATATCAGTATATCTCTATCTAGCTTAGCACCCAGATACCTGCAGGACTATGTGCCTCAAATAGACCAGGGGAGAGTGGTCATTTATACTTTCCCTTAACAGCAACTACCATATGGAACATTTTTCCAATGGATGGCACAATCGCCCCTTTCGGGAAAGCAGTTAAAATGGAAAGAATGGTAAATATTTCTTATTTTACTGCTAAACTGCATCCCTTATGGCTGTCCCTACAGATAACCTTCCCTTCCCTTTCATACCTAGCTGTGACATGTCTTCCCCCTCCCTTTTAACACCTAGCTGTGACATGACACTTCTTTTTAAAAATTATATTCCGTGATTTAGACGAAGCGGGCGGTGACCCAGGAAAGTTACACCATGTGCGTTCATTTGCTAGCAGGCATTTTGGCTGTCACTCAGAGTGCCGGCAGATGAAAGCGGGTCGGCTTCAATTCCTACTGTAAGGAACGACCCGCAATTCCGCACAGATCTGGAAAATGGCCTCCCCAAAGGGGAAAGCTCCGAGTCTCGACAATAAGGTCCGCCTCCACCCCGCCCCCTCGTCTTTTCTTCTCTATGGTCTTCCTGGAACTTGACGTTTCGCAGTGCAGGGGCGGCGCCGGCCGCGCCAAAACGGGGGCCACGCCTCGGCTTTCTCCCGGCGAGCTGTGCGGCTGCAGGCAGAGGACTGGCGGGAGCGTGCTCGAGATGGCGTCTGCCGACGGCGTGGTCGACGAAGCTGTTCCGGCTACGCGGCGCAGCAGGTGAGGAACCGGTGCGGGGAGAACGACCCGGGTGGGGGCATCGCAGGCGGATCCCGAGCCAGTTCGCGCCCGTCCCTTGTCCGGCTCCCCTTGAAAAGGTTTCCCCCCACCACCACCACCCGGTTTAAAATTTCCTCTCCACAGTCACGGCCACGTACTTCTTCCGCCTCCCATTGCATTGCTTAGCTAAGCCCGGAGACACGTTGGGAGCAGCCAAGCCCCGGATGCTTCCGGAGACGGTGCATGACGGGGTTGGCGCGGATTGCAGGTGGCCGGGATGAAGTGCGGAAGAAGCTGCACCGTGCAAGGTTTGCTTTGTCGGGCGGGGCGAGAATAGCCTTCCCTAATGTGTCGGTTTCCCTCCGGCTCAGCGGGAGCAAAGGAGCCGCCCTGAACGGCCTTGTCGGCCGCTTGCCGCTCACGCCGTCGCTTTCCCCACGGAAAAGAACCACCAGCCAGTCGAAAACGGAGCCGCCGCTGCTTTGGACCAGCAAGCGCACCATCTACACGGCTGGGCGGCCGCCATGGTACAACGAGACGGGCACTCCTTTCAAAGAAGCCTTTGTCATTGGTAGGGGAATCGGTGGCTGTTTCTTTTGTCCTATAGGTGTGGGGGGGGGAGGGTCTGTTTGAATTTTATAATTTTTTATAAATTTCCTTATGAAATTTATCCAGCAATTGGGAGCTTCCAACTAAAATTTATCCCAATAACTGGAAGTGCCAAGTTTCCCTGCCTTTGGATACCTACCAGTTTCTAATTTTCTGTACCATATTTTTCCTCCCTCCTTGAAAAGTTGCAATTTCTTGCATAGAATGAGAGTTATAGGCTGAAATAAGTTTTTTTTTTTAAAAAAAAATCAGGTATTGTGCTGTTTTTGGCCATATTGGTAGTACCATGCCTGCCGGGTTTAGTTGTAATGTGCTATGTGGGCCACATCTATGCTTGCCACTCTTGAGTATGGCTGTTGGGTGAGATCTGCATGCTGGCTTCTTTCCCACTAGGGAGATTGAAGGCGAGGTCTTTGGAAATCCAGGCACACTAGGCAGTAAAGAATAAGAGGAGAGGGAACATGTCTTAGGACTCTTCCTCCAGATTGTCCTCTTCTTGTTAGTGGTGTTTTCGTCTTTCCCAGGCTTGTGTGGTGGCAGTGCATCTGGCAAGACTACAGTGGCCAACAAAATCATTGAAGCACTAGATGTGCCTTGGGTGGTGCTCCTCTCCATGGATAGCTTCTACAAGGTGGGCTGGTTAAAATATCTTGGCCCAATTCCCTCAACTCCACCCTTCTCAAAGGCAGAGATGGGAAGAAGTGAGACAATTGAAGTCTAGGAAACCACCTCTACAGTACTGATCCAGTCTGTTCTTTTCCCTGTTTTCTGATGTCTCTGGTGCTCTTCCAGGTGCTGAACAAAGAACAGCAAGAGCAAGCTGCTTGTAATGAATACAACTTTGACCATCCTGATGCCTTTGATTTTGACCTGCTCATCAGTGTCGTACGAAAGCTGAAAGAGGGCAAGAGCGTTAAAGTTCCTGTTTACGATTTTACCACACATAGCCGAAGCAAGGAGTGGGTATGTAGCAGGGGTGAAATTCAGCATGTTCTGGTAGTGGAAAGTTTGAGTATTTCGGAGAACCGGCAAATACCATCTCTGGCTGGTCCCAGAGTGGGGTGGGAATAGGGATTTTGCAGTATCCTTCCCCTGGAGTGAAGTGGGAATGGAGATTTTGCAGTATCCTTTCCCCTGCCACGCCCACCAAGCCACGCCCACCCAACCGTTAGTAAAAAAAAATTGAGTTTCACAAGTGGTATGTCCTGCTATTCCTAGCAATTTTTAGAAATTAAAAGACTTCCCCTCCGCTCTTTTCTGTGAGGCTGTATTAGCTCCATAAGGTATTCATGACCTGGTATTCTGCAGTTGGCTACAACTGCACAAATACATAGAATCTTGCAGTTGGAGGGGTTGTTATAGGCCAGGTGCAAGTCACCCAAGCTCCTCTAGAGACTGCAGAATCATAGCTCCAAGGATCGCCAATAGTGAAAATTTCTATGAATGGTTCCCATGTGGAAGCCTTAGATTCCTCATTCCTGAGGTAGGTTTTCTCTTCCAATGTGGAACTGCAATATCTCCCTAAAATGACTGTATATTTTCTACATAAAAACATTAAATTGATCTGCCTCACAATGTATCTCAACTGTGTGGACTTCAGCTCCTAGAATTCCTCATCCATTTCACACATTTTCAAATTTGGTGTACCTTTATCAGTTTAGTTTCCCCAGCTATAGGAAAAAGGAGTTTTTCAGAGTCAGGAAAAATAATGGAATCTGATTCTAGCTCTGTTTTTATAAAAAAGAACTATTTGTGCACATCCCATTTATTTCATTAAAACTTCTTTCAATGGGTGAAAATAATGCTGCATTGTTTAAATTAAAAAGGTGTTCTTTATGTTAGCCTGAACTACATTTGCCTGAATTGGCAGACATTTCTTCTTCTGGAACCTGATGAGGTTCAAATGCTGCAGGATCTTTGGAAGGGAAACTGCATTTGACTCAGTGTACAAATGGTCTTCACAGAACGTCTCACTTTGTATTTTCTGTCCTAGTTCATGTAATGAATTCCATCTGGCTTTTTGAAATGCAAGTTTTTCTAAAGCAATTTTTAAGTAAAATCTAAATAGAATAGAATTTAATAAAATCTGAAAAGAGAGCTCCCCAATTTTTTTCTTATGTCATTAGTTGATTTTCTAATGTCAGAGATCCATCTGGAGTAGGCTATGCTGTTTTTGCTATGATAATATAGTAGTCATTGAATGCCTGATCTGTTTCATTTTGGGGACTGAAGAAAGATAATAGAATTATAGTTCTGCTCATTAGGTGTCTTATTTCACTTGCTTGCTAGTGTAGGGGGGTGTCTATAACTATTTTTAGGTGGAGGAAGTTAGCAGACTGAGGAGGAATACATTTCATTCGTTACAAGAAAGGTGGCAAATAAATTCAATAAATAATATTTCTGGAATAGAGTGGACCCTTCCATTTTGGTTTAGGAGAAATGACTAATCACCCTTTCCTGAAAGCTGATGGTTGCAGAATGAAAATGGTGCTGCTAGAGACTTTTTTGTCTCCATAGTTGCTAATGGAGTAGAACAGTGGTTCTCAACCTGTGGGTCGGGAACCCTTTGGGGGTCAAATGACCCTTTCACAGGGGTTGCCTAACACCATTGGAAAACACAT